TTCCTTCCCTCCTTCCCTCCTTCCCTCCTTCCCTCCTTCCTTCCCTCCTTCCTTCCCTCCTTCCTTCCCTCCTTCCTTCCCTCCTTCCCTCCTTCCTTCCCTCCCTCCTTCCCTCCTTCCTTCCCTCCTTCCTTCCTTCCCTCCTTCCTTCCTTCCCTCCTTCCTTCCCTCCTTCCTTCCCTCCTTCCCTCCTTCCCTCCTTCCCTCCTTCCCTCCTTCCCTCCTTCCCTCTTTCCCTCTTTCCCTCTTTCCCTCTTTCCCTCTCTCTCTCTTTCTCTCTCTCTTTCTTTCTCTCTCTCTTTCTTTCTCTCTCTCTTTCTTTCTCTCTCTCTTTCTTTCTCTCTCTCTTTCTCTCTCTCTTTCTCTCTCTCTTTCTTTTTCTTTCTTTCTTTCTTTCTTTCTTTCTTTCTTTCTTTCTTTCTTTCTTTCTTTCTTTCTTTCTTTCTTTCTTTCTTTCTTTCTTTCTTTCTTTCTTTCTTTCTTTCTTTCTTTTTTGAAAACGTGAGTGGGCTTCCTGTGCTCATTTAAGGACTTATGCTATCCAATCATATACCCTTTAATCAGGCTGATTGTCTGCATTATGGTGACACAAGCAGAAACAAAGTAGGGAGTTCAAGATCCTACCTATCCAAGGCAGAATCTGTTCTTTCTAGAGTAATTTCTGAAAAATAACTATTTAAGCTTTCTTATTAACAAGGTCTTTAAAAATAGAGATTCCATGTATTGTCCACAAACTCAGTTCCAGTCCTTTGCTATCTTTATATTTAAAAATTTACTTTACACTGAAGACGATCTTTGAAGTAGTAATCCTAAATTTCCCTACCAGAATTTCGTCTTTTTCTTCTTGAGCTACCCCAGTGAACACAAATAACAGATTGCTATTCTCTTTTAGCAACCTTTTACATATTTGAATATTCTTATCATGTCTTCTTTTGTCCTAGACTAAATAATTTCAGGTCTTTAAAGCTTAGCTATAAGTCATATTTTTAAAGCTCTAATGATTTTACACTCTTGTAGATTTTCTCCAACTGATTCATTAACTACTTTTTAAGCAGAAAATACAAATCTAGGCACTGAACTCCAACTAAGACCCTACAAGCAGTGAGGAAAATAGGAAACAGGAGAGGTGAGGTGGTGGGGGTCTCACAAGCTTGCAAACTTACGTGGGGAACTTACTGAGCCAGGCAGTCTCTGTTTCACTATTGGACTGCTCATTACTTGTGCCAAAGCGTAGCACTCTGTGGCTGTTCTTATTGAATTGCATCTTATTCACCAGAAACACTTATCAATTTAAAGAAATAATAGTAAATTTCAGTTTTTCTATTCTTTAGTCTAGCAGTCAGCTGAAGGAACCATAACAACAGTGCTGGGCTCAAGGCATGTTCCTATGGAAACATCCTACATAATTTGAGATGGACTTTGAAGGACTGATGAGTATTTGGACAGCAGAATTCCCAAAAGTTGTGCAATGTGAAGTTATACTCAGATTTTAATTTCACCGTTTGCTTACAAAAATATTATCAAAGATATTAGTAATATCAGTATGTAATTATGTGTCACCCACAACTTTTACACCATCTGCAATACCTATTCTTCTATTGTAGATGAAATTAGGCTTATGAGACAAGGTATGTTCTCAATCATAGTGTCTATTTATTACTTTGTGGTCTTTTGAAGGCTTATAAACTGATTTTATTTTCACTGTATTGTGAACTGCTCTTCTAGGTTTATTCTAGCAGTTCATTGAGAGCATCCTAAGGTGAAACATATTGGCCCAGACAAGTAGAAAACATCTGAAAGTGACTCCTTTAACTCATTCCTTAGAAATTAAGTCCCCTTTAATACACCCTATCCTTTTTGATGAGCAGGATGTTGCAGGACATGTATATTCACAGGGATACATCAGCTAGGATTAAGTTTGTTGAAGTTCTAGGCAGTTGTTAAACAGCAAAGCAATGCATGGAGCAGAAAGAAGCAAAATCCCATTTACATTTATGTTTTCCTTCAATTCATAGTAACCATTTATAACAAGAAAAAGGAGATTCTATGACTCACAACTGTTTCAATGTGACTGCTGGTTCCACAAATTTGAACCACACACACAAATCTACGAGCTAGATGCAGTGTGGGCCTGGTAAAATGTCCTGTCTGAAGAACCCACAGAAGTTTGACTTGAAGGAGATCCTCTTTCTTACTGAACTGATAGTAGCTGGTGTTACCACACTCTAGAAGCCAGCAGGAGGTAAGGATCAGTAGATCAGTATTTTTAGAGAACTACAAACTTTGGTATTCTGCTGAGCAGAGACTCTGCCTTAGGTCTGCCGAGCCCCCTCAAGCCCCCTCAGCAGCCACCTGAGCTTGCACAGAGCAGCAAGGAGAGGGGGCTGCAAAGCAGGAAACCTGCACTCCTAGGTGGGTTTGATCTTTCCTGTCTTTTTGCTTCTGCTAAAAACCAAAAGTTTCTAAAACTATTTAAGAAAACAGACTTTTCCAGTGTAGAAAGAATATTTACCTGCAACACCAAAACACCAAAGCCAAGTCCCTGTTTTTGACCAGAAAGATCAGAGAATTGAAATTGTCTCCTACAGCTCAGGAAAGAAGTCTGAAATTTTGCTACTTGGATTTCATGGAGAGGAAAAACAAACAGGACTTTTCTTTCCTTCTTTCCTTCTACATTCTTCCCTCTTCAAACACATATTTTGACCTACCCGTGTCTCTATAAATACCTTCACACATCAAACAGCTCTTCAAAACACAAGTCATCTTGCTTTGTTCCTCTGGACACCTTTCATTTTTTATGAATCATTATTTTCCAATAAAAAAACAGATTCTTATTTTGTTCCCAAAAACCTGCTCAAAAATACACTTATCTTTTGACTGCAGAATAACTTAACAGGAAAGTTTGAGATACAATTCCCTCTTCCACAGCTACAAAAAGGCCTGTTAAGACTGTGGCAAAATTTATAGATTATGATTTGTAGGCCAGTCCTGTTATAAATAGTCTCAATTTCCTCTCCTTAAACATACTAACACAAACAGTTCTTTTGGCTGAAAAGGGAGTGAAGAACAGAGCAGGCTGTGGCATTTCCTTCAGGTCATCCTGTCTCTGTGCCAAAAGCCTACCTTTTTTCTCCTGCACCAAATGCAATGAGTTCAGAATAGCTGAACACGTTAGAGGAGAAAAAGCTCTGGATTTTTTACTTTACTTTTAATATACTTTCAGAGCATTTCTTGAATTGAAATTAGAAATTTTGGATTCATTAACATTTCCAAAGATTATTTACTGGCATCAGTTTAAGGCAGAACACAAAAAAAGAAAAATTACCTCTGCTTTTCAGTTACTTTTAGGGGATGGAGGAAAGAGAAATAAATTTTCCTTAAAAGTATATTTCTAGGGCACAGCTTGCCTGGCTTATGAAGACAGCTGAAAAAGTTCTCACTTTGCTTGAGCTGATGTGCTTGTGAAAGTCTTATTTCTCCTCCCACCTCTTCTTTTCTTCTTCAGTGTCCAGTCTTGAAAACAAACTGACAGATGTTCTCTTGGATCAGCTTGTGAGACTTGCAATGTCAGGAGTGCAAACAGACTTTTGCTGTTTAGTTCAGGAAATGAGATTCAGACAATCTGATAAATAAACAGTGTTTATTACTCCAGTTTAAAGTACACTTTGGATTTCTTTTCAAAATACTCCTACGAGGAACTGAGGATGAATATTAAACATGTGCTCCTAATTTAGAGACCTCAATGGTCAGAGGGTCTTTAACTTACAGAATTTGTACAGTTAGGTTATAACAGCAGCGAGTGTTTCTGATTTTTAGTCACACTAAAGAAACAAGAAATTTGAATTACATAGAATTTACTCTGAAGAAACTTGTAAGACTTATGAATACACCAAGGTGCATTAGAATAATAGGATTTAGGAATGTGTGTGAATTAGAATGCTTTGTGACTTTAACTAAGAGACACATAGAGATTTAAAGAGATGGCACATAATTACCCAGTATGGACTGGGACAAGACAGAGTGGAAAATATTCTTCTACTCAAGCAGTTAAGTATGCATTTTAATGGTTATAGGCTCATAAATTTAGATTTAGATATCATTCAAATGGTACTTCCAGCATCTAGATCCCCAGAAAAGCACTAAAGCATCATTTAACTTTTAATTCTGTGTAATTTCATGTGCCATCCTATTTCTCTGTCATGGCTGTGTGGCCTACACAGCACAGAAGAGCCCAGCATCCATGGCTCTGACAACAAATATGCTGCCAGTCGAAAGCAGGAAAAGCCAGGGACCTGCCCTGCATGTGTGCCAGGAGACGCAAACAAGCATGCACAAAAGGACAATTAACTCCACAAAAAGGCAACAAGAATTTCGTTCCTATTGAAAGAAAGAAAGAAAAGAGTTCAGAATGCAGTAGGTGAGTTTTGGAGCTAACTTTGATATTCTGTTAAGGACACGGTGCCTGCATGCTCTGCTGTCCTTTGGGACTTGCAAAAACAGAGTTTGGCCCTCAAGAGAGAAAACAGAGACCCACTGAGTCACCGGTAACATTTGCTGCATTGCTTTGGATTTGTCTTGAGGCGCCTCCCCTCCCTTCCAGCTCTGCAGAAAAGCATCATTTCCACCAGACAGAGGTGATTCAGAACCCATGAAACAGTCATTTTTCCAAGCCATGGAGAGCTGTTACTGAACGAATTATCATTTAAACAGCTTTTAGTGCCACATTTGAATTCTGAATGAATTCAAATTCTAGTGAAAGGTGTTCAACAAGTGTCACTGAGCCAAGAAACTTTACTCACTGTTCCCAAAAGGAGCACACCCAGTACTTGTTGTGAGTTTCATTTTTATTCCTAACCTTACTCTCTCCATCACTCTCTTTTTTTTTTTGGAATAATGAGTTTTGGGGGGAAAAGTATCCCATACCATACCTATGCTTATCTGAGAGAAGTAATTTCATCTGTTATATTTTGGCTATGAGATATCAGTTAACAGAAAATGCCTTTCAGATTTATTTATTTTATTTTATTAAATCCTAAATGAACAAGATGCAGACTGATAAACTAATTATGAAAGATTCTGTGAAACTCCTCACACTAATACTATATGCCAAACTCTCTCCAGTTAAGGTGGCTGTACTTACCTGTTGATATTCACTGTTTTCTTATATTGTGTTTGAAGTCTTCAAGTATGACTACAGAGATAACAATAGGAATCCAAGAGAACTATGAATAAGTCTGTAGTCCAACACTAGTAACAGCAGTACCTCACAGACTGGTTTTGTATTTACTGTTTACTACTTTGTTATTTGAAACATTTTTCCCAACCTCTTCCTTGAAACTGCCGCTGTAAAAAATGCAAATATACACCTTACCTACAAACAGTGCTCACGTTTCCTTCTGATCCACATTTCAGGCCAAACACTTTTCACTTTTATTAGTCTGTTTCCTTAAAGGGCAAGCTTATATCAAAACACTGACAGTTTTCACATTTTAGATACTGCACTGTAAAGTCATTTAGGTAAACTTTACCTTTTCAAAGTGTGGCAAAATGTGTGCTACAGCAAAATCTTATAGTTTTCTTATCACAAGACATGTCATATCTTCAGCTAGGATGTATACCTTTTTTTTTTGTCATAAGTGAGACTGCTGCTGCTTGGAAAATCCAGGCTTGGACCAACTCCACCCCTATAACAGAGGGGAAAAACAAAACACTAACTCACTAACTGTAGTGGAGGATTCTGGTTGCCACTTACTGCATTCAAGAATTAGAACATTAATTCCTTAATTAGAACTCAGCATGGGGATTTTCAACCCTATAGCCTGATGCAGCTCAGTAAATTGTGCCTACTTAGACCTATTTCACAGAAGGCCTGAGGTAGTACCTTGCAGGACTAGGGTTTTTTATCCCTTGTGTGAAAAAGAGGGAAAGGGGAACTGCAGGCAGAAGCTGGTTGGATGTGTCATATACAGCAAGCAAGACCTCCAAGACTTTGGTATAGTCTCTCGGTAAGCTATGCCAGAGGTCCTTTTGCTGAAGTCAGCTTAACTTTTTTTGAAAACTAGCTCAACCCATACTTGGATTAATTAATTTGAAAGTTATGTCTAGCAAAAGTTGTGATTACCTTAGGAAAAAAGTATTTTCTTGATAAAGATGGCATGCATGGGCAAGATTTACTCTGTGTGTTATGAAGACTGTGGAGGTGACTAGTTGACAGAGCTTGACAGATGCTCTCATCCACCTGACACCTGACAGTCTTACTGAACACATTGTGATTAATAATAGATTTTAAAAACTCCAAACCTCAAATATTAGGGCTTTGGCAATACTTCCAACTACTATTATAGAGAAGCTGCCAAATCTTTTGTTGAAGCAAATGACGGTGGGAAGCCCAGTAGATCCCCTTTGGCAGCTGGAAAATGTCTCGTACAACGTGCCATGATGCCATGCAGACAAGTGGCTACAAGGACAATGTCCAGCTACTTGTGTCCCCGCTCTGACACCTGCAAAGAGGGGTTCGTGTCCAAGAGCGTGTTTAACATTACAACACAGAGCAAACTAAGGCAAATCTTCGATTACCCTTCGGTGGCAGTGGCAACAAATGCCCTTATTAACGCTGACATTAAAGACAAGCACGAGGGAAGGCAAAGCGGCTGCCGGCTTTCTGCCCCGGCACTCACAGAGGTCACAAGCGCTCACTCGAAACAGATCCGCGTTTGTTTATGCCACGTCGGGCACCCACAGCCCCCGGTGTCGATGGCCGCAGTCCGCCTCATGCTGGGGCTCGCCCCTCTCGGGGCGGTGATTTCCCAGCACACGGGCGGCTCTGCCCCGCATCGCCCAGATGAGGGGAGCGGACCCTCCCCGCTCTGTCTGTCTGTCTGTCCGTCCGTC